TTTTTTTTTTTAATGTCCAGACTCTACTTGATATCACAGGTTTCTCAGACATTGCTGAGGAGGCTATGATCCATTAAGCAGCTATCTTTCAAACTGTCTCAGAAATGTTGAGAATTCTCTACTGGGCTTGATGAAAAATAAACAGCACAAGTTTCTAAGTCTGAGGAATGTAAGATAGAATCTCAACTTTGCCAAATTCTTTTTGCTTTTTTTTTAGATGGAGTTTCATTCTTGTTGCCCAGGCTGGAGTGCAATGGCACAATCTCTATTTACTGCAACCTCCCAGGTTCAAGTGATTCTCCTGTCTCAGCCTCTCAAGTAGCTGGGAATTACAGGTTCCTGCCACCGCGCTCGGTTAATTTTTGTTATTTTTATTAAAGACAGGGTTTCACCATGTTGGCCAGGCTGGTCTTGAACTCCTGACCTCTGGTGATCCACCCACCTCAGCCTCCCAAAGTGCTGGGATTACAGGTGTGAGTCGCCGCACCAGGCAACTTTGCCAATTATTAACTTGGTAGCTTTGAAAACATTTTCTAGCTTTCTTTAATCTTGAATTTCTTATTTAAGGAGAAAAAAAGGATGTAATATCTTCTAACTTGAGCCTACTGGCCTTCAAATTAGCTGCAATTAAATTGAGAGAGAGGCATAGAGGCGGGGAAGCAAAAAAGTAAGGCAGTCTTGAAAATTATATGTAAGAAGTATATCTAAAAATATCTATTTCCTGGAAACAAAATTCCCTGGGAGGAAAATATTCCAGAAGGCTTGTAGGTTTCTGAGGAAACTGGATTACAAAAGAAACCACAGGCGTGGCTAAAAACTGCTTGACTATTTAAGACATTGAAACAATAGCTGAGTGTATGGTCTGACTATTACTTGTGGGGACTGCAGGTGGAATGTTTTTAAAGGGTCTGTCAGCATAGCAGGTAGCACATCTGTCCACAGCATGCTTTTTGGTTCTCTGCGAATTTTTGACAACGTTTGCTTGGTGCCTTGGTTCTGGTAGAAAGTACACATTTCTGCTGGCATGTCAGAGTCCAGGGTAGACTGGTACACAGTGGCACTAACATTATGCTGCTTCCAATCCCTGCACATCCCAGTGCATTGAGGTATACGTCTCCTTTAAGGAGGTTTGAAACCAACAAGCCCACAGTGGGCAGCAGAGTTTCTGGTCGATTCTCCTGTATCTGATCCTAAAGCCGCATAGCATGTGAGCACTGACACAGCAGCTGCACTCCCACCTGAGCTTCCTCCAGTTATCAGCCAGTCTGAATCTTCATTCTTGCTGTGGAGATTCTGCTTCCTCTTTTATCTATATTGTTTTGAATAACTCCAGGGGTTTTTAACTGGTCCAAATACACCATCTGTGCTTCCAGGTCCCATAGCAAAGTCATCTAAATTTGTTTTTCCCATTAGTAGAGCTCCCTGATCCAACAACTTCCGAACTACTGCAGCATTATAAGGGGGTACATAACCCTTCAGCATATTTGATGCACATGTTGTCTCAATGCCAGACGTGTTAAAGTTGTCTTTTACTGCATTAGGAATTCCATCTAAATCACCAGGTGACTGTCCATTCTTATATCTCTTTTCTGATTTTTCAGCTTGTTTTAAGACCAACTCTTCTGATACAGTAATGTAGGCATTTAGAAACTTGGTCTTCTTGATAAGAGGAAGACATTTTTGACAGAGCTCTGTGGTTGTAATTTGGCCTTGTTTCAGTGCCACAGAAACTTCTCGAAGGGTCCAGCCCAGCATGGTCCTTGTGCCCAGCCTGCCACCATAGGAGCCAGGCAAGGAGGAAAAAGAGGTCACTGGTTGCTAGTGATGTTACATGGACGCAGCCATCTTTAGTTGTCACTCAATTTGGTTTTTAAAAACTTCAGTTCTGCCTGTGCTCGGTGATATGGTTTGGCTCTGTGTCCCCACCCAAATCTCATCTTGAATTGTATTCCCATAGTTCCCATGTGTTGTAGGAGGGATCCAGTGGGAGATCATCTGAATCATGGGGGTGGTTTCCCCCATGCTGTTCTCGTGGTAGTGAATAAGTCTCACAAGATCTGATGGTTTTATCAGGGGTTTCTGCTTTTGCATCTTCCTCATTTTCTCTTGTTGCCACCAGGTATGAAGGGCCTTTTACCTCCCGCCATGATTCTGAAGACCCCAGCCAGGTGGAACTGTTAAGTCCAATTAAACCTCTTTTTCTTCCCAGTCTCAGATATGTCTTTATCAGCAGCATGAAAACAGACTAATACACTCAGCCACAGGACCACCCACTGCTTCCTGTAGACTGGTTATACGCTTGGTTTGCCAAGACCCCACCACATCCTATCTTGTCCACAGGGTGTTGCACTCATTTTGGTTACCTACATGACCCCTCATAGGGCTTGAATCTGTAACTGCTGATCTAAGTAAATTAACACATAGCTAGATTTCAGGTGCCCCCTCTCCAGAGTGCTTTCTCTGTAACCAACTCTACCCTTTCCCAGAGACAGATGATCCTCTCTTGTGGCTCCACACACTAACTACTGCCTCTCTTCCTCTTTAATTTGTCCACTCCCCTTCCCAGCACATGCAAGCATCTTGAGGGTGGAGACAATTTTGGTGTTCTCTGTAACCACAGCACAACAAACATGATGAATGTGTCTAGCAGGCTGATTAAATCTTACCCAGATTAGTATGTACTTTACTTGGTATGTTCTGAGGAATTACTTCCAAGAAGTTCTTTAGTTTGTCATGTCTTTAGCTATAGTTAGGCAGCCAACAGCAGGATAATTCTGCAGAAATGAAATTTTTTTCTAAAATCCAAGAAAGATGATAGAGGAGATGGATTAAATTTCAGAAGAAGGCCGGGTGCAGTGGCTCACTCCTGTAATCCCAGCACTTTGGGAGGCCAAGGCAGGAGGATCACGAGGTCAGGAGATTGAGACCATCCTGGCCAACATGGTGAAACCCCATCTCTACTAAAATACAAAAATTAGCTGGGCATGGTGGTGCACACCTGTAGTCCCAGCTATTTGGGAGGCTGAGGCAGGAGAATTGCTTGGACCTGGGAGGCAGAGGTCGCAGTGAGCTGAGATCACACTATTGCACTCCAGCCTGGCACCTGGCGACAGAGCAGGACTCTGTCTCAAAAAAAAAAATTTTGTTTTTGAGAAGAAAAGTGGTAACGCACTATTTGTATAAACCAAATTCCGTATGTGGCTCAGCCTAAGAAATAACCACCTGGAGCACCTTCATAGCACATTTTCCCTATCTACACAAGTCCTACTCCCTCCTCAAGCAAAGTTTAAGGGTCCTGTCCTTTTGAAGAATGTTTTTAGATTTTCTAGGCTAAGATCCAACAGCACTTTGACAGATTTATATTACAATGCTTTATTTAGTAAGTATTTATGTATTTGTTTCCCCAGTGGCCTGTGCGACAGAATCTACATCATTCTTTAAATTTGTAGTGGCCATCAGAACTAGACAGAGAGAAGGTACTCAATATATGTTTGTAGAATAAAGTTGCTTCAAAATTGGTATCATGAGATGAACTTAAAAACAGTAATTATCTGGCAGTGTCAATGATAGAAGGTGTCCGGGTTCTTGGTATCTAGAACAAAGAGCTGGACAAAACGCACAAACAACGCAAGGAAAGCAAAGGCAGGGATTTATTGAGAATGAAAGTACACTCCACAGTGTGAAAGTGCGTTGGGCATGGGGCTCAAACGCTCCACCTACAGGATTTTCTAGGGTTTCAATACTCTAGAGGTTTCCCATCGGTTACCTGGCATATATTATACATAAATGAAGAGAATGAAGCGAAGTCACAGAGTCATTTACTCAGAATGTGCCCTATTGTAAATAGAGAGGATGTGACTTGCTGTGTGTGATCTAGGTAAATGGAAAGGATGAATGTGAAATTACAAAGTGTAAACGGTATGAATGGAGAGGATGAAGTGACTACATGTCTGTAGTCTGAGCTACTCGGGAGACTGAAGTTGAAGGATCTCTTGAGCCCAGTAGGTCCAGGATGCAGTGAGCCGTGATTGTGCCATTACATTCCAGCATGTGTGACAGAGCAAGACCCTGTCTCATAAAAAATAGTAATATGATAAATAAATTACCAGTGTGCACAACATGCAATAAGGGTAAGTATTCACTAACAAAATGCTCACAAATATGTACTTTGGATTATGCCAAAAAAGGTATTTCTTCTCATGGGTTATGTGAAAGTGCAAAAAACATCGATTTAAAGTGTGACTGAGTTATTAGTGTCTGTACAACTCAGCAGACAGTTCGGTATATATTTCAGTAACTTTTTTGTTAGTGGCAAACATGGCAAAACCCCGTCTCTACTAAAAAATACAAAAATTAGCTGGGCTTGGTGGTGGCTTGCCTATAATCCCAGCTCTTCTGGTGGCTGAGGCACGAGAATCGCTTGAACCCAGGAGATGGAGGTTGCAGTGAACTGAGATAGGGCCACTGCACTGCAGCCTGGATGGCAAAGCAAGACTCTGTCTGAAAAAAAAAAAAAAAAAAAAAAAAAGACAGACATCTCCCTTCTTTGTAGCAGAGCTGACATGCAAACTCAGAGGGTTCAGGTTCCAACATTGAAGGTTTTTTTTTTAATATCTTGCTGACAGAAAATTGCTTTCCTCTGAGCTGCCATTAAGGGCCCAGGGAAAAATGACCCTGAAAATTCACTATCAAAGATCAAGAGAGAGCCCCCAAACCTGGCATGCTCCTGGCAAGATCCCTCCTCCCACAGCTCTCAAAAACACCAGCTTTGTCACCATTATCTAATATGTCTTTACTGCTATTTATGTCAGTCATTGCAAGAAGCTAAGAACTGATTCTTAGGAAATTGCTCATTTCTCTTTACAGTAATTTTTATAAGGCTCTGTTAATTCCTGTTTTTGATCTTGCTTCTCATCAATCCTCAACCACTGAACTCCTTCAACTCTGTTCCCTGGAGCTCGTGGCCAATAATCAGCAAACTTCTCTGTGACCTCAACTTTTTTCCTAAAGTTTCCCTTCTACCTCTTCTTGCACTAACTGGTGCACTCTGGAGGATGGTGTCTCCTGCAGACCCCTGCAGTGGCTTTGCCTTTTTTATATCACTGGATCCAGACATAGGCATGCAGGGAAGGGGTGTCCTTTTGTCCCCCATTGCCACTTCTAGGCTGCTGTCTTTTCTGACTCCACGAAAGGCCTTGCTTGAATCTCAAATCATCAGATATTTTACCTACTCCTTCTCTTTGTTATAGCCATTCATCTCCCCCAGATCACCCCTGTTCCTCACATTCCTTGAAGATTTTAGTTCCTGGTTAACTGTCAGTCTCTAAAACTACTTCCATGATAATTCCTGGCTATATCAATGTGTACACAGATGATCCTTTTTATTTCCAGGCCTTTTCCCCTCTACCAACCTCACCCTACTTCACGCACTTGCCTCACTTCTATAATCATATCCTAATCTTTTTCTTACGGAAACTAATACCCCTTCATAACCTCATTTACACACTTCTCATTGCCATAAGACAATTTCCTATTTTTCCTCTTTTCTTCCTCAAATATTCCAACTCTGGCTTTCCTTTATGTGTGCCTTTCTCTCTTTTTCTTTCATCTGTGCTTTTCAGCTGAGGGCAATTTTGATGCCCAACCCTCCAGGAGGTATTTAGAGATGTCTGAAGACATTTTTGGTTGTCACATTAAGAGGGTGTCACTGGCATGTAACAGGTAAAGGCCATGAACCAGGAGCGGAGGGAAACAAATCTCTCAAACACTGAAAGGAGGAAGGAAGTGGCTTTTTACTCAGCCAAGAGCTGCAGGGTGTAAAGCCTTATTTGCCAAGCTCCCTGAGAAGCATCTTCTTTCCCATTTTATATGCTTACAATGCTAAAAGGGAAACTGAGGCAAAGCTGTGTCATTGTCCATTGGCTGGACGTCTGACCTTACAATGTTTTGGCTTCACTGATTTGCTAGTTCATATGCAGTGTGAGCAGGAGCAGGCAAGAGGGGGGCTTACAGACACAAGACAAAGGCAGTAAATTATTAGTTGGTAGAGGTGTTTCCAGGAGGGAGCGTGGGTGCAGACGTGGGGGACGTGACCCAGTGTCTGTCCAGTAGTGATAACATTCATTTGCAACTCTTTCAAGGCCTGTAGCTAGCAGAGATGCTGGGAACTGAAAAGAAACTTGTCTTCCCAATCCTTGGGCCTCTTCATGGCCTGGTCAGTGGCATCAGCAAGTTGCCTGCCCACAGAGTTAAGCTCTTTGGTATTTTTTTTTTTTTAGCCTCCTTCCCATCCTGGAATTAGAGGAGGGAGGCGAGGAGATCTCCCCTATTAGCCAAAGATGCTGGTGACATCTCCCAATATATAGGACAGACCTCCTGAATTTTCCAGGACAAAAAAGAATTCAGAGCAAAGAATTATTCAGTGCAGTCAATAATGCCAAGGTTGATAAACTGCTTAACATTACCAGGATCTACAGTCCATTGATTTTGTTACGGTGTTAGAGATCAAATTGTTTTCTCAAAAAAAAAAAAAAAAAAAACAACAAAAAAAAAAACATATGTTGAAGGCCAAACCCTGGGTTCCTCAGAATGTGACCTGATTTAGAGATAGGTCATTGCAGATGTAATTAAGTTGGTGTTATGCTGGAGTAGGGTGCCATCCAATATGATTGGCATCCTTATAAGAAGAATGCCATGTGAAGACACAGAGGCGCAAGAAGAATTCCATGTGAAGATGAAGGACGAGAGTGATGCATCTGCAAACCATGGAACACCAAAGACTGCCTTCACACCACCAGAAGCTAGGAGGAGGCAAGAAATAGTTTCTCTCCTACAGATTTCAAGAGACCATTGCGCTGCTGACATCTTGATTTTGGACTTCTATATTACATACCTATAAGACAATAAACAACCATGTTCGTGGCACTTTGTTACA